CGTGATTTATTATTGGATAATTTCACGTGATCGAAAAAATTTTATTAGTAATTTGGTGGCGATCCTGGGGAAGTTCTAAAGTGGTGTATGATCACGTGACACCCGACGAATCAAATTATAGAATTTTGATGATTGTAAAACAAGAGATAAAAAAATAAAACAAAAAACCTGAAAAATACAAAAAACGGCGGTCTAAACCTACCTCGGGTGGGTTAATTAAAGGCAATTTTGCTTATATATAACTACCTAAAACCTAACCTAATCCCAATATAAGATGACTCTAACCCTAAAGTTAATTCAATAAAATATTATTCTGCTTTGTTTTTTGTTTTTGATCGTGTTACGTTACACCTGATTCTTGAAATCTGATTTGTGGATCATAAAATCTGCCCTGGGCTTTCAACAAAGTTGTAAAGGCATTCTCGTTCTAAATATCATATGGTTGACCTTATAGATCGTAGCGACTTTTGTAGTTATTATTGCATTTACATTCTTCAACTCTATTTTCTTTATTTTCAAAACAATTTATATCGCAATAGCATTACTGCTAGATCATTAGAATATACATAATTGGCTTTTACAAAAAAGTATGTACGTACGTACGTAAGCAACTAATTACGTACGTACGTACGTACGTACATACTTGGCTATTAAAAATGCTTTTAAACGAGAATATATAGTATGATTACATGTGATTGTGAGCGTCTTAATTCAAAAGGTAATGATCAGGAAGCAGTAAAACAAGAAACATACGAATGGATTATCGTTATACGTGATAATTAATGAGATAATCTACTACGCCAAATTACTGAATGCATTACGTAATTTTTTAGCTGCCTGGAGTACAAATCAATCCTAGCTAACTTGATTTGTACCCGGGAATATCATGTGAGGAAAAGGATAAATTCAAAGGGAAATATTTTGAATGATTCTTAGAGAGGTTGGCAAAAATAATTGCACAAGCCTTATTGATATTAAACGACAATAATGAGATTTTAATTTAGTAGGGTACTATTACATGGGGAATACTGTATGCAGCGCTGTACGGTAATAACGGACAAATCAGCGGAAACACGAGAAAATAACAACAGGCGGGGACCAAGATGTAAATGTACTGGTCATAAACTTCGATCATACAAATATCTTCGAAACAAAGTATGTCAATGTCGAGATTATAGATGATTTACGGCAGACAGTATGGCGAAATGTTGTTAATTGCATTCCAAAATGGCGTATGACGAAATTTTTTTCGTCTGTCGAAATTATTATTGACTGTCAAAAAAAATATTATAGACTGTCGAAATGATTTATGGCTGTCGTTATTAGGATCATGAAATGTAAAATTCAGAAATAATCCGAAAGAAAAAGAACGAACACAAAAGACAAGCAAGTGTCCATAGAAGGGCAGTTTGCTGATGTAAATTTATTACCCGGGTAACTTATTTATACCTTTTAAAGTATTTTTCAATAACATAACGGTTAAATAATAAAAATGCAATCTTTTTTTTACCGTTAACTTCGCAAGAGCGTGAATACTCACTGTACAAAATAATTGAGAAAAGATCGGAACCTGAAGAACTTCGCTTAGAAGACAAAATATACCTACCGTTATACTGTAATTAGAAACGTTTTTTATTGCTAACCGTTTAATTTGAATAGGTACAAGCTCTTTAGTAGTAGAATATCTGGGTTAATATCGATATCTTGTAATTCTTTATAATGAGTTTGGGTTTATTAGTAATAAATATAACATTTACCCACTTTACGCGTAGATATATATGATATAAATTATAAGCTTCGTTATACGATAAAATTTAAAAATTGTGTATCTTGATTGGTTAATAATCACGGGAAATCGCAAAAAATGACATTTATAAATATTTTCGGCATACCAGATACCCAGATACAGAAATAATTTCGGCTAAAATATTTTCGACATATTAAATTATTTACGATTTTGGCTGTCAAAAATCATTTTTGCCATTTTAAATTTACGCCAAGAGCAAAATATTTTCGACACCCATGTATAATGAGAACAGACACGGATCCTCCCGAACGGCTAATCGAGAAGAAATTCCGGTACAAGATTGGAGAATGAGAGAAAGGCTCAAGACGGTGTCAGGTGCCTTAGTCTTATGCTTAAATATCGGCGTAGATCCGCCTGATATTGTAAAGCCTAGTCCTTGCGCAAAACTTGAATGTTGGGTTGATCCTTTTTCTGTTCCACCGACGAAAGCTTTAGACGCCATTGGCAAAAATCTTCAGGCTCAATATGAACAGCTCAGCATTCGAACTCGATACAAACAATATTTAGACCCTTCGGTTGATGAGATGAAAAAGTTTTGCACAAATTTGAGAAAAAGTGCCAAGGAAGAACGCGTTTTGCTTCATTATAATGGTCATGGTGTTCCAAAACCAACTGCGAGCGGAGAGATTTGGTGTTTTAACAAGCATTTTACACAATATATTCCTGTATCCTTAGGCGATTTACAATCTTGGCTCGGTTCTCCATGTATTTATGTTTTTGATTGTTCAGCTGCTGGCAATATTTTAGAGAGCTTCAAACGTTTTTCTGAACAACGTTATTTGGAAAATAATAGGCCAGAATCTAGCGCTCCTTTAAATATTCAATTAGCTGCTTGTGGTCCTAACGAAACTTTACCTATGCATCCTCATTTACCAGCTGATTTATTCACATCTTGTCTAACTTCTCCGATCGAAATTGCTTTAAGATGGTTCGTTTTGCAAAATCCATTACCATCATATCTCACCGTTGATATGGTAATGAAACTTCCAGGGAGATTACAAGATCGTCGTACACCTTTGGGTGAATTAAATTGGATTTTTACTGCAATTACCGATACCATAGCTTGGAACGTTCTACCACGTGATTTATTCAAACAATTATTCCGCCAAGATCTTATGGTAGCTGCTCTATTCAGAAATTTTCTACTGGCGGAAAGGATAATGAGGCGTTATCAATGTAAGCCCATGTCACATCCAGAATTACCACCAACTCATGATCATCCAATGTGGGATTCATGGGATCTGGCTGTTGATATGTGTTTAGCTCAATTACCATCATTATTAAGCGCTGAAAATGGTGGTACAGAAGTCGAATATAAACATTCGACATTTTTTGATGAACAATTGACTGCGTTCCAAGTATGGTTGTCGAAAGGATCTGTGTCTCAAAAACCACCAGAACAATTACCCATTGTACTACAGGTGCTTCTTAGTCAGGTGCATCGGTCTCGTGCCTTGGGATTATTAAGTAAATATTTAGATTTAGGTCCTCGT